TGTTGAGAATGCCTCGATCCCCCCCTAGCGGACAAATACAGAAACATTCAATTACGAACTTTTTCTCCACGAGCGTGGTATAGCTTAGAATTTCTAATGAACAACGTACAACTCTTTTCATCTGTATATAGCTTTCCCTTTTTTATCATGCTTAACTATTAAATTTAATTCTTAAACGTTTTGTGCGAAGTATTTTTCAGCCTAAGTGTAATTAGTTATCTACAGCCCAAGACCTTTGGAAGAGAATACTAGGTGAAGGCAGAACAAGAAGCCGAAACAAGGTAAGATTCCTTGTTGATATATATTGAATCTTTAGAAGTCTTTGTTTAGTATTCGTTATAACAGCAATATGGAAAATTGTATTTATTATTTGCCTTTCTTTTGGAGGTAAGCATACATTAAAATTTATTTTCAAATGGTTAAAACAGATTTTAAATGTTTTTTTATCTTTTCAAAACTTATTTTTAGATGCATCATTTAGAATAATAATGCAATATTACAATTAAAATTATTTGAAGAATGGAAATAAACAGCTTGCTGTGCATATAACCATTAAGACTGTACGATCTTTGATGTATTTTTAAAATTTTTCATTAAATATTTTCTACTATTTTTTTTCTTCAAATGCTGACTTAAATGTGTTTTATGCATCAGTTGCATAAACAAATTAAAACCAGAAATTGAACAAAAACATTCTAAAATAGTGAATCAAAATAGCGAGTCTTTGACTACTCAACAAAAATTATTAGAGCTCTGTTCTACTCCATCCACGCTCTTTTCAAAACCTAATGCACTTATGTACTTTAGTAAATTTATAGCAAAATTTATATGCGTCAAGGTTTAGTTTGCCTCCAAAATTGCTATAAATTTCCTGAGTATTCCTTAAAATATTGCTTGAATGTCCAAGTTATTCTTAGTGTTTAAATTTTTGAAGATTTTTGTGATGTATTTTAAGCGTGTAAGTCAATTAGTGGATAATTATAATCAACGTTTAGTACTTATGTAAACTAGTTGCACACAGAGGAGATAGCAGATATGAGTGATTTATTGCAGATCCTTTCCAGATTTACAAATGGGAACAATTTTATGTCAGTGTTAATACAAAATTTAGAACGAAAGCTAAAAAACAAACCATATTGCAGAAAAATAGGGTCAATTTTCAAATTGGCAAATTTTTTTTTGCAAAGGTCATCAAGTCTATGTAAGTCTGAGAACAGGGGATAAAGAGATTTTGTATAGCAATAGTCGTAAAGCTAATCTTTTTTCAACCCCTTAGTGATGCAGCTATCCGTAGGGAAATTTTCGCACATGCGCTGTGAAGCTCAAAAATCCCTGAAACCAGTTACGCTATGCAAAATCTCTCTTTTGACTGTGACATTTAATATTTTTTAGTTCGCTAAATGATATTATCAACATTGTTTTCCTACGTTATTAAGTATTAAAGGATATAGAACGAAATTAAAGGTCGTTACAGGCCACAGAGCGATTAAATATGACAAAGAGGGGGGGGGGACAAGAAATGCCTCTGTGGTCGAGACATTGAAAGCTATACGATGTCAGAAAAATGGAACTATTTTCGAGAATTTCTAATCTATTGAATGATTTATACAAACTGAAGTACAAGCGTTCATAAAAGTAGCATGGAATTAATATTTTGGACTACATTTTAATTTCTTCGAACGGCATAAAGTAAATAGACTACGAAATCGGATCCAAAAATATGGAACATTTACAATGAACTCTTGAATTTTGTAAACTAGAGATGAAGAAAAAAAAGTTTTTTTTTTATGCATTGTTGTTAAACTAACTTTTAAGGTTATTTTTAAATTATAATAAATTTCAGATCCTTTGATAAAAAATGTCAGTAAAGTAAGTCAATTATAGGTATTTACAAGGTTTGTCAATTTGTATTGAGAACGATAATATACATTTAGGAGTTTTTAAAAAAAATAAAATTACAATTAATAAAACAAAATTTGATTACAATTAATTGTAATTAAAATAAAATTTAAAAAAAAATCCTAATAATAAATGTGGTTGCTTGTCGTACTCACTCGTTGTTCGCAGGGTGTAGTCGCTTGTCCTTCTTGACCCGAACTCCAAACTTTCGAAACAAAATAGGTCAAAAATACTTTAAGTATATATATTTTTTATTCTTTCCCTATTTTGAAATTTTATTTATAAAATTTTTATCCTTATGTCTTGATTTTATAGATAACTAGTTCATAGAAACATTATAAACACACGTACAGTGCACACACACAAAAAAAAAAAATCGGACCAACTTGATTAATTTTTTTCCCCGGACCATTGCGAGTTTGGACTCAATGTTAATTGCTCAAAAAATGATTTCAAATAAGCTAATTAATTAGTGCAAGCATTATTTTAAGTTACGAAATCAATAAAAACAAACTTTCTCTGTAAAAACACATCTTTTTATATTGTATTTGGATTTCTGACCTACAAAATAGTAGGGGTAGTTGAATTTGGGAAAAATGATCTCGATAGTTTGGTCAGGAACACGATCCAAAATTAGACCCCGATGCGAAGTTTAATTGCACAACTTTTACAAAATTTGATTTCTCAGTAACTATTTGACTGATTTTGCTCAAATTATGTACTTTGCCATGAAAAATTACATTCTTTAAAGTTTCAGAAAAATTGCATACCTTAGTATTCAAATTTTATTTCATATTATGAAATAAAATCATAAGAAATAAATAAAAAAAAATTTAAAAGGTATTTTTTTGCATTGAAAATATTTGGATATACGAATTTTATAATTGTGTGAAAAATTTTTTTCAATTCATGTAAAAAGTTCTCGAGATAAGGCAAAAGGAGCAAAAAGTAAAATTAGCATTAAGGGGTCCTAATTTTGCTTGTGTAGTCCAAGCTCTGTATATTATATCATATATGTTATTTTATATATATTATATTATATAATATATTATATAATATAATATATATAAAATAACATATATGATATAATATACAGAGCTTGGACTACACAAGCAAAATTAGGACCCCTTAATGCTAATTTTACTTTTTGCTCCTTTTGCCTTATCTCGAGAACTTTTTACATGAATTGAAAAAAATTTTTCACACAATTATAAAATTCGTATATCCAAATATTTTCAATGCAAAAAAATACCTTTTAAATTTTTTTTTATTTATTTCTTATGATTTTATTTCATAATATGAAATAAAATTTGAATACTAAGGTATGCAATTTTTCTGAAACTTTAAAGAATNATACCGGGCAATGGCACTTGACCTTAAAAAAACATCCGTGTAGGATATACCGGTCAGTGGCACTTAACTACGCCTAGTATATATTTCGGACATTTACCAAAGGTCTAGTCATATTAGGTCTAGTTAAGTGCCACTGCCCGGTATACATTTGCCCGGTATATCCTACACTGATGTTTTTTTAAGGTCAAGTGCCACTGCTCGGTATACATTTGCCCGGTATACCCTACACTGATGTTTTTTTAAGGTCAAGTGCCATTGTCCGATATACAATTGCCCGGCAAATACCGAATAAATGTAATTATATCCACGAATAAATTAATATCAAATTGGATGTAATAAATATTTCGGACATTCACCAAAGCAACTAAGTGATTGTTGACATTCACCGGTGAAAGTCGATTTCGAAAAATCATTTCTCAAAAATAAAAATGTTTTGCTGAAAAATACTGAGAGTGCCATTAAAAAACATTTATTCAAAATGTGTAAAGAAAAATAAAAAGTTGTGCAAAACATAATTTATGCCTTTCTTATTAAGGGAAACAAAACTTTCATATGAAAAATAAGAAATTAACCTACTTGTTGCAACATGCCAGGCTTGAATGACGTTTCTTCGAATTTGTCATTTTTGAATGGCATTTTGACGAATCGGAGATGCATTTTATACTTTGCCGGTAACACACACACACAGATATATATATATATATAAATGGCTATATGGTTGAAATTTAGATTACGCAGAGAATATAGAATAGAATACAAACGAGATATTATGCTGGAAATGACTACAGCTTTATGTGCTTAAGAAAAAAAAATCATTATATGAAGTTATAGAGAAGGTTTCGATGCAAAAGAGGAAGAATGTGTGTAAGTAAGAAAACAATTATAACTTACTCTAAATTGTGGCATTTGTCGATTCAGAAGCCAACAGAACAATGAGGTCCAATACACATGGGTGACGTCGTTTATAGATATCTAATAAAATCTGATTTGAATCACTCGGTTAGGCATGATCACTTCACTTCTTTCGAGTTGAAAGAACTTAATTGTTTGAGAACAATTTAATTTTAGAATCCGGTTTCACTTTTTTGATGAAAATGGATTCTATGATGTTTACAACTTTACTGTTTGTTTAATAACGTTATTAATATTTTGAATCAAAATTACGAACTGCAATAACATGTAACTTCCGCTCTATTGCGGCGCACACATTTGCCTACATTTCTAGAGAAGTGTCGCAAAAAAGTGCGGACGAGAAGCACGAAGCACAAAGATTTTTGTATGGTAGTATGCTGCCCTCTAGTGGAAGTTCTACAAGCTTTTAAAATACTTATCTGGTCATAGTACTTTGGAACAGTTTGATGTAAATACTGATGCTTATCAATATATTGCTCCAAACTCTTCGATTTCGTCCCATGATATCTTATTATAAATGTTAAGAAATGTAGAGCAACAAAAGATATTCTGGAGAAATTGCCCAACATTTCTATATCCTAACAGCGGTGACATTTTACTTAATACATTTATCGGTGGCCCACGTCCTATTTAAAAGCGGAAACACTTAAGAAGATATTTTAATTAAAAATAATTTAAATCTGACCTTTTAAATACGTTAATTGTTGTTTCCTGTGCAGATATCAGTGCACACTTTGACATTAGAAAACGGACATCCCTTTCCTATTTACCATGAATGGAACAGTTTTTTTTTATTAAAAAAACCACCTTTTACAAGGGAAAAAAATCCAAGCATTTATAGAAGGGAGCTAATTTGTTAACCATTACTTTGTAGTAACGTTATTATTAATCCAGGATTAACTCATCGACTCCAACAATGTGGAAATCTTTTCTGATACTTTGTATTTCATTCAGTAGTAAGTTAGAATCTTCCTCGTGCGAGTTTTGTGTACTTAAATTTATAATTTTTCTGTCAATCCTTTTTAGGGTATTTTTTCTAGATTAAAATATTTTCGGGAAGGGGTTTGATTTATAATTAAGAATTCAATTTGCTTATTAATAGAACTTAATTTACTTTAAAGACTATTTATTTTCGGTGGAATGGTGGGTGGTATTTTTAAAGATTTGGCTATAAATTAAGAAAATAATAATGTTATGAATTCTGTGTTTATAGCTACAAATAAGCGCTATGAGAAATAATCAAATTAACGAACGTTGCAAGAAAAAAATATCTCCCTAATGTTAGCCTTTCTTTTTTGAGACCTAACCTTTACTATTTTCCAAATTTATACAAACAAGCAATTTTTTTAAAAAAGTTATTAGATGATGACCACATAAATCATTAGTGGAAAACTTGATTTTTTTCGACATTTAAAAACATATGTTGCTGGTGGGAAATGTACTTCCCACAATTGTTAAACAATTACAAATTGTTAAAGTTAAATTGTTTCTCTTAAGTATGGAATCAGTAATAAGGTTTGTGTGGTACAGTTATGAATGTAGTTGATGAAATAAAGTTAGCTGTAAAGGTTCTTTTTTAAGTAAATTTTGTAATTATGGTAATAGAATGTATGATTCTGCACTTCGTGAGAGAATATTTTATTATACTTATTAATAGGAAGTACGAACATAGTTTTAAGATGCTATAGCATTTTATACTCCATCTCTAAAGATAGATTTAATTGAGGCACTTGTTTCGTATTCAAGAAATTGCTTTTGAATTAAATTTGTGACAAATTTTGACTTAGAGGTAATTAGATAAAAAACTATCTAAGCAAGTGAAGCACTGTTTGATTTTAAGCCAATGACGTTTTTATTCCATTCATTCTTGTACAATTCAATCATTCTTACACAATGTTGAAACTATTAAAAATAAAAAATTCATATTTATAGAGTACTATTTTTAATTTAAATCTATAAGCTTGACTGCGCCATCTAAACAAGTGAAAAATTGTCTCGTCTCTTTCACTTCTATTTTATGCCAATTTTGCTCCAAAAATAAATAAATAAAATTTTAAAAAATGCGATATTTATCTATATGACACTTAGGTAAATAAATAATGTAAATAAGTATAAGCACTCATGTAAATAAGTACAAAATTGAGCATGAAAATGTTTTATATTTGAGCTATTAAATATATTGATTTTGTTTTCATCTTATTCGGTTTAGCGTAAAAAGCGTAATTGTGAAAAAACTTCCTTTTTTTCTATAACAATGCCAAATTCGTGAATTGGTATACGTCAAAATGTGTACTGTTTTAACATCAAAAGTTCATAAATTCTTAACTATTTGTCATTATTTTAACTCTATTCAACATAATAAAATACATTAAAAAATGCCTCATTTGCTTAAATATCACTATTTAAATCTAATCCTCGTCTTTTACCCTCTTTTCTCATAAATCTTAGTGATGGTATTTGAAGTGCTCATATTGCGCAACAATTTGCGCATATTATGCATCACCAATGATACGAAATTATATTCTTTTACCAGGAAGTGCACTTTTTTTTTCTAAGCCGCTTCACATAAGTAAGTTTTTCTAAGTTTGTAGTTTCAAGTTAAACTAATAAAGTAAGAATCTAAGTAAGATAATGCTTATCAAAATGCAGTTATAAATAATGCTGGACAATATCAGAATTTTCATTAATTAAAGGACATATTATGGGAAAACATCAATATTTTACGATAAAAATGCTATAATTTTTAATTTAGCTAATTTGCATTCGGCCTATGCATACGTACGGCCCATACATACGGTCTATATGTACGGTTAACATCCGATAAAAATGAAGACCTATGTTCTCATAAGGGTGGGTAACATAAAGATTATCATGGAGTCTTCCCTGGTGAGTTATAAACACAGATTTTAAAAATTCTGAAATCTATAAGCACAAAAGTTCAAGTTCATGGCAGTAGGTAAAATTTTGAAACTTCCACCTTCCTTCCCACAAGAAATAATTGTTTTAAAAATCAAATCAATTTTAGGTATTTAACTACAGGGTGGTCCCGAATTCATGGTACAAACTTTAATGGTAAGTACAGGACATTGTAACAATGATTTATTGTACAGGAATGTATAGTCGCAAGTGACGCGGTGAGGCGTAAACAGAAGAAATAACGGCCGAAAGGAAAAACAAAGATTTTATTGAAAGCGTTGTTGACAAGTGTCATGTTTACAGTAAGTGTTCAAAATTGCGTCCACCAGAAGCGATACATGCTTGACAGCGTCGGTGGAGCCATTGGCGTACACGTTCAAAGATGCATGGTATTTCACGCACACCTGCAGCAGCTACAGATATGCGAGCGACGAGATCCTCATCTGAGTCAACTGGAGTCTCAAAAACAAGATGCTTTAGATGTCCCCATAAAAAGTAATCGAGGCTCGATAAATCGGGAGATCGGGGTGGCCAAGGGATTGGTCCACCACGCCCAATCCATCGAGCACCAAACTGCACACTACTGCCCTCTACCGGCAATGATACCAACCGATCACTCCATTTCTCTTTCCTTTTATTTCCCCTGTTTACGCCTCACCCCGTCACTTGCGACTATACATTCCTATACAATAAATCATTGTTACAATGTTCTGTACCTACCATTAAAGTTTGTACCATGAATTCGGGACCACCCTGTATATGAGATTCTCTTTATAGGTCAATATCAATAAGAAAATTTTTTAACACAACGTTACTCGTAAAACGGCTCTATAAAAGAGCCTAATAGTTAAATACCTGATAGTTTTAATCTTTAACTTACAAAATGATATAAAAAAATGAGTCTCATTATCTAAATTAATAAATGTTAAATTACTTAAAATGGTTGTTTTTAATTTCGTACATACGTATTTTAATAATAGGTTGCATCGCATTCCCGGAAATGTGCACATCATTTCATCGATGTCGAAAATTAGCACCTGATAATTTCTTTCCATCAGCTGAAAATCTAGAAGCTGTTTGCCAGTACGTATATTAAAATTATTTTAATTCGTATATTGAAAAATTACAGGAAGATGTCAAAACATTGCTTATTATTAAGAAACAGTCATCTGTGTTTCATTTAACTATGATTGCATTTTAATTATCGATATTAAAAATAGACAAGTTTATGAGAAATCATTGCTTTTCATTATGACAAAGTATTGATTTGTAGTTAATTTTGCTTTAGTTGTTTTTAAGATTCTAACTTTAAAAAAATATAGGATTATGCAGAATAATTACACATCATTATGAAAAACTGTTGTTTTGTATTTTAATTTACTTCAATTGCATTTTAATTCTGATATTATAAACGTAATGGAAGAAACGTTATTGCTATTTGTTTCATTTTACTTTAATTACACTCTAAATTCTGTTATTTAAAGAGCACAAAATGATGAGAAATTATCACCCATTACTATGAAATATAGCTAAATAATGTTTTATTTTACTGCATTTGCACTTTATATTGTGATTTTAAAAAGATACAGTATATTAAAAAAAAATATTTCCCAATATTGTGAAACATTGTTAATTTGTGATTATTGCTAATGTAATGGCAATTTAAACTCTGAAATTTAAAAGGAACCTTAAAGTTGATTGCTCAATACTATGATAGAATGTAAATTTATTATTAGAATTAATGAAATGACTTTTAAACTCTATAATTAAGAAAATTCATAACAATGAAAAATCATTGTCTATTATTATAAATTACAAATTTGTAGTTAATATCTACACAATGACATTTTAAACACTAAAATTAAAAACGTTGCAGAATGATGTAAAAAAATAACAATTCTCCTAATTTTGAAATATTTTAGCACATTTTCGAATTTTTTTTATAATTGAATTTTAAATTTTAATCTTAAAAAGTAGCAGAATAATGAGAGTCCTATGGAATATTATTAATAGTACACCTAAGTGATTTTCCATTCTTAAAAATATTAGAAACCCTTGTCCATGACTACGAAAATAAACACAAGAACGAAAGAACTATTCGAAAAAATTCAGAGAAATTTTGGTAAATTAAATGTTAGAAATAATTTTTAAAAAAAGCATAAAAATGTAGCTATTAAATTAAATATAATTCGTTCGTCCTTCTGTTGAATGAAGAGAAGGAAGGAATATTAAATTTCAAAACTTGACTGAGTTTTACTCGAAACTTTAAATACACTCTATAACAAAAAAATCGACGCACCAAGAAGGAGTTCTCCGATTGCAACGAAAATTGGTGGATAGGAAGACAATGTACATAATAGTAAATGATTAAAATTTCAGAACAATTGAATAATTTATTGCAGAGATACAGTAACAAGTTCAATAAGGTGTTGACCCGCCTCTAGCCTGGATACAAGCTGCCACACGGCGTGGCATAGACCGATAAAGCTCCCGGATGGTCTCTTGCGGTATTTCCTGCCAAATTCGATCCAATTGTCGAACGAGGTCATCAACATTCCGTGCCAGATGCAATCGCCTTCCCATCATATCCCAGACATGCTCGATGGGAGAGAGATCTGGTGATCTGGCAGGCCAAGGAAGAGTTTGACAAGCTTGCAGACAGTTCATAGCAACACGTGCCGTATGTGGTCTGGCATTGTCCTGCTGAAAAACCAGCCCAGGGCGCTGCAAAAGGAACGGTAGCAAAACAGGTCTTAGGATGTCGTCGACGTACCGCTGTGCAGTAAGTGTACCTCTAATGACGAGCAAAGAGTCCGAGTCCTGTTGAGGGCCAGTGTGGCGTGCAATAGTAAAGGCAGGATCCTCCCTCTGCCCTGTGCGTCTCCAAACACGTCTTCGATGATCGTCAGGACACAGTTGGAAGCGGGATTCGTCGCTAAAGACTATACGTCCCCAGTCGGCATTATTCCAGCTATATCTGTTCAAAACATTCATGCATACGAAATTTCAAAGCAATCGGATGATTGCTTCTTGGTGCGTCGATTTTTTGTTATAGAGTGTATAATCATATTTTACGTATTCAGATTACTTTATTATATAAATTTAAGATCTGACTGGATGAGTGGTTAAGTGATATTTTAGTGAAATCAAGCTTAAATAAATTTTGAGTGACATCTAAGTGAAATAGAGCTATATGTTTTGTGATTAGGAAATAAAGGTTATATCGTGCTTTCATTTTTGCCCCCAAGCTTTCGATTCAGTAAAGCTATAAATCTCAAACACTCATTTAAACTGTTCGTGTCACAGCGTCCGGAAGCTTAGCGTTTTAATTTTTTAGATAGATTGAGACGTTTCCTGATTTTATTCCTCGTTTGTTTATGTTGGAAAGGAATTTGAAGCCTTTTTTGACTTAAAAACATTAATACTCTCTGAGATCTGTGATATTTAATGAGTTGAAGAAATAAATCAATATTCTACAGTTAAATAAGAATATATATTAAGTTTCCTTAAATGTATGTTACTTAAAACCTTATTACATTAAGATATTCAATTATGATTGTTATAGGGATATGCATAAAATATTAGATTGCCAATTGGAAGAACTCGCGAAATGCGCGGATAAAGTTCTTGACGCAGTGTCCACTTCTGATTATGAAGCTGTGGTAGCTGCTTTTAGTATAAATTTAGGAACGAAAAGTTTAGTGGACGATTTATGCGATTCAACAACTCAATATCATAAAGGTATTTAAACGACAACACTTTATATGTTTATCAATTATTACTAAGAATAGTTTAACTTCGATGGCAAATTTAATTTAAATTATTCTTGGATACAGGATACGGGAAAATAATAATAATAAAAAAAAACTTAACGAGACAGAAAAATTTGTTTTTATGCATGCTGGCTAGGTATTCCATATTCTTCAAGATTACTTACAAAGTTTGTCAACAGATGGCGCTTACGACTAAAATTCTTTCTGCTGCCTATCAGACCACTCATCACATATGTAATTTTATCTTTAAGCTGGTTTTTGGTTCTGTTTAAATATTAGAAATCGTCAACTATTTTTGAGTTATTCTTGATATTTCAATAATATTTTAACGTTTTTTAAAATTGAATTATCCAATTTTTTTTCTGATTGAGCTAAACATAACAAAAGACTAGAAAATTGCTGGATCAAATGAAAGGGGAAAAAATTAGATCATTCAACTACACAAAAAATATAAGAGAAATTATTTGAAATCGCTGATTTGAAATTTGGAAATAAAACAATTATTCATTTATAAATATTGTTTTAAAAATAATGTCACAATATAAAGTAGTTTAGAAAAAATTATATTGACATAAAATTTTCCAATGATTTTAGAAAAGAATCCTAAAGTTGGGAATTAAGTGTTTTTCGTAATTCATCTACGTAATATGTGCATTGACGATTTCCATATCGTTAAAGGTCAAAAGTTTGTTTCACTCATTTTATCAATTAATTTTCAGATTATTTGATTGTATTTATTGATTTGATACTTTCGATATTGAAACGTAAATAAACGACATTGCGTTGATTAATCTAATTTTAATGCTATTTTAAACAGCTTGATTCTTTGAATTATATTCTTTATGTCACTGTTAATTGATTCTATCAACTGATGTGTTAACTGCTTGATTGTAGTAATTTAATTTTGTTGGGTATCGAAAAATAAATTAATATCATTACGCTAATTTAAGCATGCAGAAACATAGCTGTTTTGTTCCAGCAAAGATTTTACATTCATTTTAACATTGTGCTTAGAAGATAATGTGCAGATTATCTAGGTGCAATAGACAGGGTAATTTGAGAAATGAAATAATATTTTAGCACTTTAAAGAATGAACCTAGTTAATCTGCAAATTAACTAGATAATCTGCAGAATTACTTATTTCTACACTTTAGTAGCAGCATGCATAATTAATGAAATTTAAAAAGTCAAGAGCAATTTTAAAACAAAATAAAGCTTTGCGCTAGATAAAAAAAACTTCAAATAAATAATATTATTTTTGACTAACAGAAATATTCTAACACGTTTCTTTTGCATCTATAGCTTATGTCCGAAATATTGGTTGCATTAATGACACTGTGATGGATCCCATGGCGTTTACGTCATGTACATCAGAAGCAAATGCTCTTAATGGTTCTTTAAAATTTGGAGAAGATGTAGATGATCAAGAACATCATTGCATGTAAGAACTCTCTTATCGGTACCTGTGTAATATTCCGCCGATCATTGATGGCAAAACCAAAAAACGGCGCCAAACATGATTTTTTTGGTCAGCAATAGAAAACGATTAATCAAAGACGTGGTTATTTTTTCAAGGTTTTATATGAAAAGAGCTTTCTTACGGTTTGGTTAAAATATATCGAATTTAATTAGTTAGTTAAAATTTTATGTTTAGTTTGTTTTTCAAATAATGTGCTAAACAAATTTTATTACTCGTATGGCCTAAAATATTAATTTCAGCATTTTTAAATTTAATTTTTTGTTCCAATTTCCATTAACCCTTTGACGCTTTGACGGGGAGGGAAATGGTAATGGTAACTGCCACTTCACTCCTATAATATAGATCATATAAAACTAAAATTAATTAATTAAATTTAATTAATGAATATTTGAAAAAACTGTTTTAACATCAAGCTTCATCCACTAGAAGTTTCAATTAAATTAATTAATTAAATTTAATTAATGAATATTTGATAAAACTGTTTTAACATCAAGCGTCATCCACTAGAAGTTTCAATTAAATTAATTAATTAAATTTAATTAATGAATATTTGAAAAAACTGTTTTAACATCAAGCGTCATACACTAGAAGTTTCAATTAAATTAATTAATTAAATTTAATTAATGAATATTTGAAAAAACTGTTTTAACATCAAGCGTCATCCACTAGAAGTTTTTAGAGACATTACGGTTGCTCTTAGAAAATGCATTTGAACTTGAGGGGATGAATAAAAAGTATTTTATTAACGACTGATAATTTGACCAAGATATATAAATATATATAGGAAGAGTGTGAACTGATAGCAGGAATTGAAAAGTGAAACCAAGTTTTATCCCATGTTTAAATAGAGATTTTATTTTGTTTGCTCAAAGATAATTAAATGCATCATTTTTTTTAAACAAAGCAATTTCCCATGCTTTTTAAGTTGCTAAGATAAAGTTTTACTTGAAATCATATAATTACGAAATATCGGGAGTTATGACGCACATGTGAATTGAATAAGCGTTTAAAAACAATGAATCATATAGTCATGAAGCTAACGTGTTTTATGTTTGCTTTTTGGTAACTTCAATTTCCTTACATTTTTGTTAAAAATTATTGCAACGAGTATGCATTGCTAATAGTACACTGAAGAGCCAAAAAAACTGGTATACCTGCCTAATATCGTGTAGGGTACCCGCGAGCACGCAGAAGTGCCGCAACACGACGTGGCATGGATTCGATCAATGTGTGAAGTAGTGCTGGAGATAATTGACACCATGAATCCTGCAGGGCTGTTCATAAGTGGGAGTAAGAGGGGGCGGGGATATCTTCTGAACATCACGTTGTAAGGCATCCCAAATATATTCAATAATGTTCATGTCTGGGGATTTTGGTGGCCAGCGGCACTCTTCTGAATTTAGACACTTCCGCGGCACTCTTCTGAATTTAGACACTTCCGCTGGCCACCAAAATCCCCAGACTTGAACTTTATTGAACATATTTGGGATGCCTTCCAAAATGATGTTCAGAAGATATCCCCACCCCCTCTTACTCCCACTGGTTTATGGACAGCCATGCAGGATTCATGGTGTCAATTTCTCCAGCACTACTTCACACATTGATCGAATCCATGCCACGTCGTGTTGCGGCACTTCTGCGTGCTCGCGGGTGCCCTACACGATATTAGGCAGGTATGCCAGTTTTTTTGGCTCTTCAGTGTATGTTACATAATGAAAACTCTTAATATCGGTCTTTAAAAACCTTTTTGAAAATAAAGTTAACCGCAATCAAAAGGCTCGCTAATCACTATTGAGAAAATTGGAACTCTAAACATTAAAACAGTTTTTTCTTTTTCTTATATGGTTAGGAGAAATGTCAAGTTTCCTTTAGCAATCAGGCAGTTTTCTATATTTTTTATTATTAGTAATTCGACATGTTTCCATGGTATTATTTTTTGTCCCTCACTTCACTATAAATTTGTAACCTCGCATGTTCACAGATTTCATCCTTAATTCTGAAACTTTGTTTGGTGAATTTGAGCAAATCCATTAAGGTCAAGCCTTTCGCACACTCATCGTTGGATTTTAACGCGAATCATTTGAATATGATTTTTGATGTGATTATTAATTTCGTTTTTTGGTAAAAAAAATATCGATTTATATGGTGAAGTTTCAGTTCGCCGGGATCCTATAATTGTTGTCATATCCACTTGGCATGTAATATTTTAATTAAGAAATAAACTGTTATTTACTCCCAACTTTTCTTCACTCGTCATAATTGATGCTTTGATCATTGTTGGCATTCATCTTAAATTGGCATTCTACAAATGGAATTAAGTCGTTGAGCAGAATCGTAATTAAATTTTTTATTTTTATTTTAGAGTGGTCTCAATGTAAATAATACAATACAGGGTGTTTATAATGTCCCGGATCCATTTTTATGTTTAATAACTCATAAAATGATAAAGATATATTAAAATTAATAACATAAATGGTTAGATAGACTCAAAAAGTTTCGCGATCCTTGTCAATGAACTTCGACGTGTGCCCACTTTGTCGCACGGAGAATATCAAGTCGATAGTCAATTTCACGCCAGGTAGCGGCAAGCATGTCGGCATCCACAGAGGCTATTGCGGTTGTAATTCTGGCTTTTAGGTCATCAAAGTTCAACACGATCTTCCTGATCCCCAAAGAAAAAAGTCCAGGTGCGTTATATCAGGTGATCTGGGTGGCCAAGGAATTGGATCTCCTCACCCTATTCATCTTCCTGGAAAATGGTCATTCAAAGAACTACGAACGATGATACCCCAATTAGATGGTGCACCATCTTGTTGCAAAAAGACATGTGGCTGAAGCTCTTCTAGTTGTGGAAATACGAAGTTTTTTAACATGTCTAAGTATACGACTGATGAGACCGTCTATTCTGTAGAAAAGAAAGGCCTAATGACTCGGTCGTGCATTAGTCCACACCACACATTAACCTTTGAGAAATCCCTTTGTTTCTCACGGTATTCATGGGGGTTTTCAGATCCTCATATGTTGACATTATGGCGATTAACAATACCAGAAACATGAAAGGATGCTTCGTTGAAGAACATTATGCCCTTCAGAAAATCAGCAGCATCTTCTATCCTTCCTGCCATATCTGTTGCAAACGCCATCCTCCTAGGCCTATCGTCCGGTTCCAAACCTTAAACAATTTGAATTTTGTATGCATGCAGTCTTAATTGTTTCTTAATAACCTTGTACACCGTCGAAATGGGCATATCCAATTCTCTTGCCGCTGATCTCACAGATCTTCTAGGATTGTCTAAAAATGTCTGTCTGACGCGCTCAGCGTCAAAATAACTTGTGCAGGGACGTCCGGAACGTTTCTTGTCTGCGATACTTCCAGTTTCTAGAAAATTATTTTTCCACCGCAAAATGCTGCTTTTGGATGGAGAATCTTTTTGGTAAATTCTTCTGCAATTTCTCTGTGCCTATCGATTTCGTTTCTATGAACCACCATAAAATCTGTGCTTTCTCTTGTGGTGTACGCATTCTCCTTAATATCCGCTCGAATAAAACATCACATAGAAGTACTACATAGAACAAACACATCAAAAGTAAGCATAACATTGCAATAGTTGCCAAAAACAAAAGAGAGAAAAATGCAATTAATAAGCAGACGATATTTAGAAAAGTATAGATGTTTAGACTGGAAAATGAAATTATCTGAAATTAACCACACGCGCAGACGGTATTTACAAAAGTAAAGATACTCAAACCTGATAAGGAAAATATATGAGTTATTCCATCAATAAATACCATGCGTTTGTTTATATCTTCATTGTCTTATGGGTTATTAAACATCAAAATGGGTGCGGGAATTTATAAACACCCTGTAGAATTCAGCGCCTTAAATTTTTTTTTATTCTCGAGCTGTCTCAATGTAAATAGCACACTGGAATTCAGCATCTTAAAACTTTTTCTAAAAAAACTGTTTTATGAAAGGATTTGTTATTTTAACTTGCTCTGTAAGCTTATTCTGTCATAGTTTATTGAAGAACTTCTTTTAATAACTTTTTTTAAACGAAACTTTACTTTTAGAGTGAATGCTCTTAGGTATGCTTGTTTTTTTGAAGAGGTGTTAAAGAAGTGTGGAGAAGAAGCATGGACAATAATTGTTGAATCAGAGAAAAGAGGAAAAGCTTTGAAATACTATATTTGCACTCCTCAGAGCATATTGAATTTGAAAACGAAATACCTCGAAATTTCAGATTTGGAATCTAAACTTCGAATCATATTTGAGAAAGTCTTTGACATGAAGAAATGAAGAAAATAAACCATTTTGTACAAGCTTTACGTTTCGAAGACTTCAACTATTTTTTGAAGAAATAAAACTATATTTTTTGTTTGATTGCTTTTTATTAATTTATCTTGGTTATACATAATCTCTATGACAAGAGGAATAAAAAATAATTCAATACAGTACAATAAACTTCTTTGTTAATAAATGAGAGCTGTAAGCTTGCTAACATCATTGGTGTAATCCTTAAAATATATGATAACGCAGAATAATTTATAGTTTCATTTAAAGCAAGGGCTAATTCTAAACCAATGAATAAATTTACTACTTAAGTTCAAGACACTAACACAAATGGTTCTGGGATTATTATGAGAAAGACATTCCTTTTCATTATTATACGTTTGAAATAATTTTCTTTAAATTTCTCTTATTTTATATTTTCTTTTAATTACTATTCGAAACTAAAACTGAAGATTTTCATGACCAGTTATTATTAAAAGAAAAAAAATTGTATATTATCGGGAAAATGAAACTTTTCCTATTCGAGTATTGATCGAATTTCTTTGTTCTTATTCTAGCCGATTTTCTTTTACTAAAAGTTTACTTAAAAAAAAAAAAAGAAATTACTCATTTTAGTCAATACAAGTTACTAAAAACATGTTTATTTTATTGCTATTCAGATTATTGCTATTCTGTCGGGTTTACGCTTAATTTTGAAATTTATCATTTTTAAAATGCCTATTTTCTGACAAATATAAATTTAAGTTGCATATTGAGCGAAAAAAAATAAATATGAATGATTTTACAAGATGCAGTACTAGTGTAAAATTTATGTTAGATTGAAATTTAAATGCATTTTTTTATGTACCTCAATATCAATAAATCGTTAAAAAAATGAATGCACGGAGGGTTGTTATGAAATAAAACTACTGAATCAAAGTGAATAAGGTTTATCAAAACATTCGTTTTTATCATTTTTAAAATAATTAAAAAAAATTAAAATTTTCTTAGTTTTGTAAAAATGTAAACGCTTTTGTACATTTTATATTTATACGTATCCAAAAATTGGAATTCAAAAAATTATTTTAAACTGGAGAAGTCTTGTTGAAAAGTGATCTAATATTTTATTGTTCTGCTAATTAAAAAGCTTTCGAAGCTTTCCCTCTTTTGCATTTACAGGTGCAAAATACGAATATAACAGAAAAAAGAGCTCATGCCCTTGAACACATGACGCTTTTTAATCTGCCGAAATTTGCCGAAAGAGAGGAAGCATGTGACAAAAGGGTTTCAGAAGTTAGGGACGAAGAGAGATGGGCAGTGGTATCAGGCTTGAACAGCAGGCTTGCTCTATTTGTAATACAGCTCTATGGACAGCATAGGCAGGCTGAGTAACTAAATTTGTATTTCTAAAGTTATCCGGGGCTGGTATTCTGATCTCGAAGTCGACAGTCGATATGAGCTTTTGGAAGCAGCACCATGGCTGATATTCTACTTTTCCCGCCCATTGCTCGATTTTCGGTATTCCAAGAAAGTTTTAGTGGATCTTGAGCGCTCTTTTCGATCGACGCAAAAACCACTGGTATTTTCAGTAGAGTAATGGCAAGCACATGGAATGCATTGATAATTAATTATTTTACACGGCTAAGTCTTCGGAGGAGACTGATATATCGAAGCAGAGAAGATGCTTTTAGCCTTCATGACGATGTATTTTTATATTTTTTTCGATTAACGAAAAATCCTATACAGTATTTATGCGTGAAACTAGGAGAGGACTTGGAAAAAGAAGCAAGGCGAGGAAACGTGATTTCAGTAGAAACGCAAGTTAAATTTAGTTTATTTTCAATATTAGGAGCATATTTATATTTTTTTTTGAAAAAATAAAACTAATTTAATTTAATTTTTATTTGCTATATGTGAATAAATAGGTATTTTTGGGGTTGTAATAGCATATTTGATGAACTTAATAGGTAAAATTGTAAATGTTAATTTTTTCTGACTAAAAATTTTGTAGAATTTTTTATTTTCTTATTATTTTATTAGATTATCTAAAGTTATATTGTAAATAATAAATATTGATGATTAATAACCAGAAATTGTCTCAATTTTCTTAGAAAATCTTTTACTCTACTAAGGAACAAGTGTGTCATTTTTAATTACTTTTTATAATCTAAAAAAGATACTGCAGATAGGAATTTAATGTGTTAAAATACGCATTTTATTTCTTTTCAAATTAAGATCTTGTAATTTTTATTAGTTTATATGTAATAAAAAGTTTGCTATGATTTCTTTCATTTCTGAAACAAGGTAGATGAATTTAACTCAGAAGTATTTCCTTTTTTAATCAATATGGAAAAGATATCATTACAAAGTTTTTGAACTTAAATTTCAAAAAAAAAATAAATAATAATTAAGTTTTCACAACCTCACATGATAATGTGAAACTTTTTTCTGAATTCTTTTCCGGAAATTTCAATTTTTTCTAATTTCAAGTAGTTAAATTTGTATTTCTTGTAGGTATTGTTAGCATTATTTCCCGTAAAAAAGATTAGTTTTAAAACTAAATTACTTTTAAGTCCTATTCAACTTGTAATGTGGAATATTAAAATAGAGCTACTATTCATAACTGTTTATTACATTCATAGGTTTTATGTGCATTAAGATTTTTTGCAACTATCCAAAAAAAAAAAGGCACTTACGTACAATCAACAAAATGAAAAAGTTTTTAACACTTTTGTCAGATTTTAGGTTCAAATCAAATCTACAGTGATTCTAATATTACCATAAAAACTGAAAATGGGATATAAAAAAATACTTATGTGAATAATAAAGTATTTTATAACTATGAAACTATACTATAATTCACTATATTTAAAATCTTTGAAAAATCTTTTTTGGACGTAAAACTAATATTGATGGACATGGTAATTGTAATATGTAGTACATAAATCGCTTGACAAATTAATAACTAATTATTTCGAATCTATCAAAGTGAATTTTTTCTTATAGCTAAAATTTTATAGAAGTTTTTTTAAAGAGAGTTCAAAACATTTTCCATGTAACAAAGAGGTGCATATAATGAACTGTAATGTTTATCTTTTCATCATTTGTTTAGTATTTATCAAATTTCGACCGTATAAGAATAATGAAGCATAAAATAAAAAGCTTACTTGAAAATAGAATTTTAACTGCAAGTTATACTTTCTTTTATTATCAACACAAATAAAGTGATATAAATATTATCTTCTTAAATAAAAAAAAAGCCTTCACTCACCTCTATCAAATCGTAATTAAGAAAATTCATAATTTTCAAAAGGCAAAGTGAAAACCATTTGTTTAGCAACATAAAGTGATATGTAGCAAGAATGTTGTTGTCATTCAAAAATTCTGATATTTTAATTTTTTTCTGGATCTTTTCTACTATCCACATAATATTAAATGCAATTAAAAGTTTATTTCTTTTTTAAAAAAAAGCATACATGTGATATGCCAATACGATGTACTCTTGTAATACAATTCTGAAAATCAAAATTTGGTTTCTTAATTGCTATTAGAATAAACAAACCAAAGATCTGATTGCAACTCAATAACACATATTAATAATAATAGTACAGTCCGCAAAAAAAAAAACGAATCACCCTGAATAACTTTCGTTCTAATGATCGGATTTTCTTTTTAATTTCTACCCTTCCTTT